CCCATGGGTTTATAAATGGATTATTATCGCGGCGTCCGCCACTGCGATTGCGATCATTGTAGCCACCACTGCCACCACCGCCGCCGCCGCCACCACCACCGCGGTTACCACCACGTGATTGACGGTTGTTACCACCGCTACCACCACCACCGCCGCCGCCGCTACCACCACTTCCGCCACTTGAACCGTAACCGCCGTATTCATCGGCGTACATACGATCAAAGTTTAAGGGATCATAATTGTGTACAGGTCCTTTAATGGGTGTCTAAGTAAATATATATTATTTTATAAGTTTAACAATAAGTAATAATAATATAATTTACCTCTCGTGTCAAAGAAACGACCTCGCGTATTGCTTCGACAACTTGACTTTGTTTTCCAACAGTTTGAACAACACGATCCGTACTTTGAGGAGCAACATTAGAGAAGATTTTTAAGATACGACAACCAATTTTCTGTAATTATATAAAACGCAAAATTTAAAATTTAATATATAAAATAAATGAAATGGTCTTAGGTACGTTTTTAAATTTGTCGCATTGTTTTTCAAATAAAGAAATGTACAGTGTATGCATAAATTGTTCTTAAGATCATAATTGAATGAGAAATAATTGTTATAAGTTATTAATATGAATAATTTATGTATTTATTAAATTAAAAAAATTTATGATTAATTGAAATTATTAGACATCTGGCAAAAGTAACAATAAATTTATTGACATCAACAGGTAAAAAATGCGAATAAAAACACTTTTTAAAAAAAGACTTCTGATTTGCAGTTGCGTTTCCATTAAACCTTTTGAAAATTTTTTTCTTTCTACTTTTAAATGAAATCAAAAATGCACAGCGTGAGAAACTTTACTGAAAATTAAAATTACCTGAAAACATAGGACCTCGGCAATATTAAATTTCTTTGCTAAAAGTGGTTTACGCAAAAAAAAAGGACTAAGAAATACAGAAAGGGGAAATATCGATGCATAAGGACCACACACAAAGCAGGTTTATGTTTTTGACAGGCAAAATATAAGTAAAGGAAAATAGCTTACGGTATACGTTGATGATATATATAGAAGAAAATATGGCTTTTATGTGTATGTTTGATATTGTTTTCAATACATATTTTGCTTGTAAGTAAGTATGTAGTCAATAACTGAATTTGGTATATACAGAGAATATAGTTTATATATCTATAAACTAGTATATAGAACGGCGGATTTAAATTTGATTATGTTTAAAAAGAATTAAAAAAAAGTAGTGCCTGCCTACAGGACATGAAATACATTTGTTTTTTTTTTTTTTTAATTTAATTTTACTTCAAATATATAGAAAATATTTTGAAGTATATTCAAAATAAGTGAGACAATTTTTTTTATTAGAATTGGCATTGAAAAGTAATGTTCATATTGAATAATTGTTTGTTCACACATAACATAAAAAATAAAAACAATTAATTATAATAAAAAAAAAATAATTAATAATAAAAAAATAATAATTATTAATAAAAAATTATAATTAATAAGAAAATATAATAATTAATAAAAAAAAATATTAAATAATAATTAATAATAAAAGGTACTAAATAACAATTAATAAAAAGAAATAGAAAAAAATTAACAATAAAATGACTAATTTTTGTAAAAATTTTAGATGATCATATACCTAAAATATGTGTTAGTAATCTTCGTGGAAACTTGTGTTTTTAATTCCTATTAAGAGGGATGATTAGCACTTGGTCATGTGAAGAACCGGTCATTCGCTCTTTAATCTATAAAGCTGACTATATTTCACTTCAATTAAATAAATTATTAATGCCAAATTTCAAGATTTTTGATTGAGCAAGTATATTTTTTTGTATAACTTCAAGTAAAAGTAATTATGATAAAATATGTATATAATTAATAATATATAAGTGTTGCATATGTATAAGCATATTATATTCTCTTTCCTAACATTTATATGTATTTTATTTCTTCCTAAGTATAAGAAATATCTTTAGAAAGATATGCATGGATACGTTGCTTTATTGAAGTACTTAATTTTGTGTTATAATGACTTGATAATAAATTCCATTTAATATAAAAATATTTCCGCTAAACATAAGGCAAACAATTGGCTTAAAAATTGAATACTTCACGTGAGACAAATGTCAAAAGTAAAGTAAAAATTTAAGTAAACATCCCAAGGGATAGTTTTTGCATAATGCAGATGGATTCTTATTAATGTATACAACCTCGTATCGATGAGTATCTTAAATTTTAAACATTTTCAAAAACGAGAAATAATACGAATGAACACATCGGAATGTATGTCAACGCTATACGAATTCCTCAAGTACTTAGGTGTACACAAAATTTTAAGCAAACAAACACAACACAACACAAGTCATACAAAAACGTGTGATTAATGATGGGAAAAGGCAAACAAGCGTTAAGGTTAATGCTTTTTAAAACTATGTCAAAAGTTGAGAAGGAAATAAGTACCCTTTAAATATTTTAGAAGGTCATCAAAGGATATCGTGTAAAATGTAAAATATTAATTGTTATAAATAACTGAGAACTTATTTTTAGTAACAAAAATCGTTAATTCAAGCACATTTCTTATGAATTAGTTACATCCTTTCTTTAAGGTTGGCTGTACACAGAAACAACGTGTTATTAGTGGTGACACAGAAAAACCAGCGCAAATGATTGCATCATTTCTAAGTCATAAAATGTCACATTTTATTTGATTATATTTTCGAAACAGAGTATGAAGGCAGGCAAGGCAGGCAGGAAGGAAGGAGTGCTGGGAACGTCGCTTGACCATTAAAAAATATATCAGATCCATAGCAAACAACAAAACAGCAACAAAATACTGACCAAAAATTAAGAGAAATTATAAAAATTAAATCGTGTTGAGTCATATATGTATATCGTCCTTTTGACTTCAGTATTTAAAAGAAAAAAAATTTAAATATATATACTAACATATACTGAATTGTTTTAAATAAATCAAATCACAGTATACACACTTTTTTAAAGATTATATTAGTAGTACAATATACTTTAAAGCACTATTATTATTATCAACTTATGATGAACCAATTATAATAATTAAAATAATTACTTTCAATATCCGCGTCCATTTGAAACTGTTCTGTACGCGACCAACGTTACCGTTGAACTAGTTAAACACTAAAATTGTGAAACTCTCGATGTTAAAATTATTTAAAAAGTATCTTCGTAAAATACCAACACATACAACACAAATCCTCTCCCAATGCTATTTTCATCGTACGTAAATTCTCAGTTTGAATATTCACAATTCAAGATACCTACAATAAAGGACATGCATGTGTCATCAGGACAAAAGGAATTTTGTGGGAAACATTCTTTACTGGTTGTGTGTAAGTGAGCAACGGAACCGGTATCCTTACTGACACATGCGTAGTTTTTCGTATCTGAGCAAAAGACTCCCGACGACGACGACGATGGCGATGACTCCTTTTGTTACTCAACAGAATTTCGAGATTGAAATAGTTCACTTCAACTTGATTATGATTGCATGCTTCACAAAAACAAAAATAACTCCACACATAAATGAATGAAAAGTACATAAAAAATAAATTTTATAATAAAATAAAAAAAAACTGATTTCATGTAAAAGCAAAATTTTCGGAAAACAGCAGGCGATAGCAACAATGACGGCATTCTTTAAGAAAAGAGAATCACAATAAA